AAAGTGGGTGTCGTAAGAATGATGAAGTCAACATATGTACTAAAGTGCTGGACACAGATGACGTATGTACAGATTGTGCTGAGTTGCATGAGCCCCTAATAAAATGATTATTAACAAAAGTAAATAAATAAACTAAAATTTAAAAAAACAGTTTCAGAGAACAAAGAATGTTTTTCAAGCCTTGGGACTGAATGATATTTTTTCCTTGTTGGGGTTCAGACTTGTTTGGTACCCATGACCCACCCCTTCTTGAGCTGTTTCTCTCTTGTGGAATAGCAAAGTTGTTGTATGTTGGAAACGGACATTTGTCTCTTAGAATTACCAGTCCGCAGAGGGAGAGGAATTTTGCTTCAGGATGAACCATAACCAGAGTCTTACCCATTTCAATTATTCAGAAGATGAGAGTTTAGATTTAGAGTTGATGCTAGAATCTGGTTAAGACTTTTGGGGGTGTTTGAACGTATTTTTCACATGGGAAAGACTTGATTCTTGAGCCAAAGGGTAGAGTACTATGGATTGAAGTGGCCCTCACAAAAATATGTTAAAGTCCTAACTGCTGTCCCTGTGAACGTGGTCTGTTTAAAAATGGGGCTGTTAGGTTCATGAGGACCTATCAGAGTCGAGTGGAGCCTAATGCCTTTCAAGTGCTGTCTTATAAAAGGAGCCAAATAGACACAGACACACGGGAGGGAGATGGGCATCATGTGATCACAGAAGCAGATCCATCTACAAGCCCAGGAACCTCAAGGATTGGTGGAAACTACCAGAAACTAAAAGTAACGAAGAAGGACCTTTTCCTAGATCCAATGGCCCGTATTTGAGCATCTGCCTTCCAGAAATGTGAGAAAATAAATTTTTGCTCTGTAAAGTCACCTACCTTGAGGTATTTTATTTATGACTACCCTTGGATGCTGACCAAAGGCTCAAAATGGTTGTTATACCAATTGCCAGGTATGTCGATCCCAATTGTGTCCTTGAGGACTGGGATAATGACCACTGAATGATTTCTGAGGCCAGTGTGATCTTGACACCTTGAGATGGATCTTGGCCCTGATTTCATTGATAACCTCTTCCCCTTAAAGTCCCGCTCTCCCCAAATGTCAACTCAGACTCTACCGAGTAGGAAACATGTATTCTTGCTGTGCTATTCCTGTTTGTTTGTTTGTTTGTTTCTCCAAGGGACCCAGCCAACTCTTTTTTTTTTTCAGTCTGAAAATGTACTTATATCTGAAAACCAGGTGACTTCTCTCAGCCACCCTTGGTTTCTTACACTATTACAAGCTGAATCGCACCCTTATTAGCTGCCCGTCAATGTGACCACGAGGGATGTCATATTCTATTACCCACATCTTCAACTGTCTGTGGAACAAGCCCCTTCCCTGCCATGTAACTTTACTTTATTACTGTCATTGAAAACCCCTGGCTTCTGACAATGAAGCACCACACCTGGTCTCCATTGTTTTAGGCACCAGCATCTCTATTCTCTCCATGAATCAAACATATAACAACAGCCTCTTCTACCTCATCCTGGGCACGACTTGAACTTTGGAGTGATACAGGTGATCCTTTCATCCGTGCATTGCTTGTCTTTGTAAAATAGTGGGTCCTTTGGATTTTCCTGGGGAATAGAATCATCTGGTAAGTCTTGTGGCCACTCTAACATGGCCACCTTCCCGAGCCTTTTAACGCCTTCCTCCACGATGTGCCATCTGCAATTCAGACGTCCCTCAGTATACGCCATTACTTCTCCCTTTATTCTAAGGGCCTTCCTGAGAGCAAATGTGCACCATTTCACAAGGTTCTTGAAAAGTGCAACTCTTGTCTCTCTGAAGAATTCTCAGGTCAATAAGCTCTTCCTTTTCAATTAAAAAAAATGTATGTGCTATTTTTAAAAATCATTTTATTGGGGGCTTGTAGAACTCTTATCACAATCCATCCATCCATCCATTGTGTCAAGCATATTTGTTGCCATCATCATTTTCAAAACATTTGCTTTCTACTTGAGCCCTTGGTATCGGCTCCTCTTTTCCCCCCTCCCTCTCCCCGCCCGCTCCCTCATGAACCCTTGATCATTTATAAATTATTAATATTTGTCATGTCTTACACTGTCTGACGTCTCCCTTCACCCACTTTTCTGTTATCCATCCCCCTGGGAGGGGGGTATCCTTTTAATTTTATAATCTGGTCCTTCCCTCTCGATCAAGCACCCTCAAGATCCAGTCTCATACATACGTCCTTGCCTATTGCTGGTACATGCCGCCAGCTGCCTTTTGTGATTTCTTTATATCACTAGGGCGTTTCCAAAAGTTCAAGGAAAAATGGAATGAAAAGATCGTGAAAGTTTTCCACAAACCTTCTGAAGCCCTCCCCCCCCCCCCCATAACAATTTGCCATCGCACACTCCTTCATTAGGCCTAGCATCGTCTCTGTTGAGTCTTCCAGCATGGGGCTGGGAAGGTGCTCGTTTTGAAGAGGAATGGGGTGGGCCATATCTATGGGTTCAGAAGATTTGGAATAGTCTGTGTTGTCCAAATCATTGCCTGTATTCACCTAGATGACTCTGTTCTTGAGTGGGTGTTGAACTTTATTTGAAGTTTAGCTGCTCTGACAGTCCTGGATTTGGATCTGAGTTCTCTGCTTTCCTCATGTAAGAGCTGAGAGCTTTTGGTACTCAGCCCAGGATGTCTCCTTGGCTTTCAACTCAAGCTTCAATGTCCTAGGGCTTCCATAAGAAAATAACCCATGGTCATTACCAAGGCTTTTAGAACGCAATTTCTAATTTCCTGCAGACATGACCATCAAAGATTTCCCAGCAGGTTTTTTATCTTTTGCTACCTGGTGAGCCTTCAACCAATTGGGAACATCAATAGCTGAGCTCTGTACTAATAGAAATATGAAAGCTGCGCATTTTCTGTAGGCTTTATCATGATACACAATACAATTTGTTTTGTGCTAATTTTTCAAGAAAAAGGGAAAGATCACACAGCGGATGGCTTTAAAGAACATGCCATCATTTTTCTCACAGGACAGGAGATTATAACTCTGAATTCAAGGCATTGGCTCAAGGGGAAGGTGCTTCGTATATTGCAACCACTCACGCATTGGGCGGTGAACACTTGTTTGCTCTTTGCTGACTATGGATCCTGCATCTGGCTCGTCGAACTCTGGTTCTTTAGACTTGTGGCGACGGCTGCTTCCCAAAAGGCTGCTGGCTCAAGTCCACCCATAGGCACCTCAGAAGAAAGTCCTAATGCAGTGGTTCTCAACCTGTGGGTCGTGACCCCTGTGGGAAATCGAACGACCCTTTCACAGGGGTCGCCTGATTCATAACAGTAGCAAAATGACCGTTATGAAGTAGCAACGAAAATAATTTTCTGGTTGGGGAGTCTCCACAACATGAGGAACTGTATGAAAGGGTCACGGCATTAGGAAGGTTGAGAACCACTGCCCTAATGGGTTATGTATTCCTGAAAACACAGCCATCGAAAACCCGTGTGAAGCACAGTTCTACTTGGAAATGCATGGGGTTGCCCAACCCCGTGACAACCAGCTAGTTAGTGCATTGCAAAACACCGCCGGTGAAAATTAACAATAAACTCTAGTGCCTGATGGCAGCTGTGCTCCGACTACCTAAAGGTGGATGGTCATTGCCACGTAGACAGTGAATAATCATTTCAAACGCTTCTCTTATTGATCACGTAATGCTCATCTTACTGATCATGTTTCAGACCTCTCCCAGTCCCAACTTGTCACATGTGGGGTTCCCTGGAAACAGATAGAGCATTTAAGTTTCAGATGCAAGATATTTGTCATATTTGTTATCAAAGGCAGGGGGAAGATGCAGAGAGCGAAGCTGAAGTGTAATGAAGGCTCAACCAAGTCTTGGCCAACCCAGTGGGGAGCAAATATTGCCCATAAAGCCTTAATGACCACACCATTATGTCCCTTAACCCGATGGACAGTTCTACGTCATATAGGGTCGCTATTAGTCAAATTCGACTCAATTGCCGTAAATGTGAGCTTTTATTATCCAAAACGTCCACATTTATTGGCATTCGTAAAGCTTCATTTATTTCCCCTTTCTGTTCACTGGATTACTCCCACTTCTTTGTGTCACATAAATCCAGGTGTGTTAGTCTGGGTACTTTAGAGAAACAAATCCACAGAAACTCATGTATAAGAGAAAGTTTTATATAAAGGTTAAGTGCACATCAAGAAAACATCCCAACCCAGTGCTGCCCAAGCCCACAAGTCCAACATTAACCCACGTGTCCGACACCAATCCACAAAGTCCTCCTCCATCTCACAAAACACACACTATGACACTGACTGCAGGAGGAAAGCTGAGTCAGTGAATGTGTAAGCATCTTAGCACTGGCAGGGGTCTCCACGTGGCTGCTCCAGCACCCTGGACTGCATCGGGATAGGTCCATGCGGCTTCTCCTTGGGGATGTCTTGCAGGAAGTCAGCCTTGCCAGCTGATGCAGGGAATTGACTAAGGCAGCTGCACCCTGGTCCGACCATCACAAAGCAAGAGACCCGAGAACTAGAAAGGCGAGGCTCACCAAGTCATTTATCTCTCTGCCCTTCAATTAACCTCACATGTGTTTGTCAGCCAGGTTGGCACAATAATCTTTAACTAACTCACCAGGCAAGTGATACACTGAATGAAATAGGCATTTTTCAGTACTGAGTTAGAGGCACTGTGGGCCAAGCATTGAGCTGCTAACCACAAATTGTAATCCAAACTCATCAGCTGCCCAACAAAAGAAAGCTGAGGCTGTTTCTTCCCATAAAGATTTACAATCTCCCAAACTCTAAGGAGCAGTTCTACTCTCTCCTGTTGAATCTATTGGGATTGACTCAATAGCAGTGGGTTTGGTTTGGGTTTGAGTTAATTAACATTAATTTATGTGGCGATGCTTACACCTTATGTCAACTTGATGTACCTGTGTGAAGGTAGTGGTGGAGTTCAACCTCTTTATCAGGATATAGCCTAATGATGTCTCCTTAGGGGTGTGTGGCTTTTTTATGAGAGACATTGGGAACTGGCCTCTTTCTTCTGCCGCTCTCCTTCCTGCTTCACTTGGCCCTATGTCTCATGTTTGAGGAAGGTGGCCCATGTGGCCTGTTGACCCCGGGAGCTTTCAGGACTCTGTCATGTCAGGAGCTTGGATCCAGGTGACTCTGATTACCAGTCAGTGATCAACCAGCTTCTCACTTCACCTTTCTGCTTCATCTGATAGCAGCTACATGAGTCTGGACTGGAGTTGTACTGGGCTGGGCCACTTTCTTGATATAACATTCTTCCTTATACATGAGTGTCACTAGTTTAGTTGCTCTAGAAAACTCAACCTAACACAGATGAGAACATTTATGTTTGATTTTTATTTGGATATCCAATAGTCCCTGTATTGGGCTAGATTCTCTAGAGCAGCAAAACCAGTTGTATATTTATAGGGAGATATTTATATCAGGAAAATGGCTCACAGTTGTACTAAAGGAAAAGTTCAGCCTGGTTCACAGTCTGCTGGGCATATGTTAAGCTGGAAGCTTCCGCTGACTCACGTAGCTTCACAGGTGCTGATGAAATTCAGACCGGCAGGAACACCACAGACTAGTGTCTACAGAGGTGGATCAATCCAAGGTCAGCAGCTCAGATGGCAGTCCATTGATGGCTCCCGGATCAGTAGGCAATAAGGCAGGCTGTTGTCTCAAGTCTAAAGAACCGAGGGTTCGATGAGCCAGATGCAGGATCCATAGCTAGCAAAAAGCAAACAAGTGTTCCCACAGAGTCCACTTATATAGAAAGTGGGCTACATTCCCAAGGAGATGTTCTTTCAATGTCATTAAGGGCTGTGGCCTGAGTAAGGGATTTACAATGCAGCCTAGTTTTCTTGCCTTGGCTACTCACAGCAGATCCTATCATGGAGTTAATTATTTGTGTTAGATCACATTATGGGGGATTGCAAGGCCCTCGACTGCCAAACCACAAAGAATCTTGGCCCAGCCAAGTTGGCACAAAACCCAACTATCACAGTACCTAACATGCAGCTGAATAAATAAAAAAATTCAATTAATGAATGGGATGGAGTATTCCACTTTTAGAGGAGAAAATCAATGTTATCAGAAATAAAGAATCAGCTGGAAGAAAATTAGGGTGTCCTTGTAGACTCGAGTTTGTGGCTAAATCCTGAAAGATAGTGGGAAACCGGTCCCAAAGTTGTAACTTGAGGTCATAAAGGTAGGGTGTCATGTGGGCTCCCCAAACTTGTGACTGACATCTGCTTATTTGACAGTCTGAAGAATGTGCTCTGACTCTAGCTAGGTCAGACAGAGGGAATGCTGCCGGGCTGGCAATGAGGATGGAGAAGTAGGAATGTGAGGACTGGCTCCTTACATTTTGGGGATTATATTCATGCTCCCCCTCACTGCACACACAGAACTAAGGCTTTGTTTATACAGCTATGCATTCCTTAGTGTTCATGATACATTCTATGAAACAAGACATTGTATGCTTTAGATGTTGTGCAAACACTGTATTATATAGAGGATGTATGTTTATATTTGATACACTTATATTAAAGCAACCCACAAGATGCTCTGACTCTCCTATAACATCCAGAGCCTTGGGATTTACAAACTTGCACTTGCACTTGATTGCCTCTGGGGAGCAGTGCTCTCCAAGCAACTCCAGGGAGTCTGGTTGGCGAGGGAAGCTCTGAGAGACAGAGCAGAGCTGTTCCCACCCAGTGTCTCCTCTTATGGTGTTATGTGACATATATGATGCTACATAATATATACCTGCATAGTTGAACTGTTCCCTAAAGAAAATGTATACTTTACTTGCCATATTAGTATTTCCCGTCATATCACCAACATTAGTTATTAACAGTTTTGGATTTTTGCCCCAGTCTGATAGGAGTGGGGTGGGGAACATCATGTTTAGTTCTATTCTTTGTTGTCAGCTAAATATATTTTCCTACTTTAATTGTTTTGTTGTTGTTGTTGTTGACTTTTGTTATTAACTGCTTATTCAGGGCTTTTGGCCACATATTTTCTCAAGGTGTTGGCTCACTCTCTTGCAAAATGATTATAAACTAAGGATATATATATTTTTCATATGATTAATTTATAGGTAGCAATATTTTAGCCAAATTTTTCATTGCTTTATTATTTTAAGAAATCAAATGGTGGTATAGTAGGGAATGCATTGGACTGCTAGCCACAGTGTCAGCAATTGGAAAGCACCAGCCGCTCCTAGGGTGAAAGGTGAGACTTTCCACTGCCGGAGAGAGTGAGTCTTAAAAACCCACGGGGCCAGTCTACCCTGTGATAGGGTCACGATCAGTCAGCATGGACTCAATGGCAGCAAGTGTTGTTTTTCATTCATTTTCTGGCAAAGCACTTTAAATTTGTTTGGAGCAAGCGATCAATATTTTCCTTTATGAAACATATAAATATTTACCTAAAATTATCTGGCAAATTATATTAAATGTAACATCCAGAATAGTTTATATTCATAATATTAGTAGACTCTCAGGTTAGAAAATCCGTGTGTTTCATGAAATTCAGGACAGATAAAATTCTCACGAATGAATTCTACCTTGCAAGTCTGGCTAGACCAGAGGATGTACACTAGTACAGATAGGAACTGGAAACACAGAAAGAGGCATTCCTTGCTGCATTAATCAAAACCAAAATCACTGCCATCGAGTCAATTAAGAATCATAGTGACCCTCTAGCACAGGATAGAACTGTGGGATTCTGAGGCTGAATTGCATTCTCCTACGGAGTGGCCAGTGGCTTCTAACAGTTGGCCTCGTTGTTAAAACCCAGGCACCACCAGGGCTCCTCTTCTTGCTG